GTAGCCGATGCCTTGAGTCGAAAACCAAGGCATAAGTTGGGTTATATGTCAGTTGCCGATGAACTGTGTCAAGATTTAGCACGGATGGAAATTAAAGTACTTGGACGGGGCATGACGCGGGGATATTTGCAAATGATGCAAGTTGAGCCTGAAATTTATGATCATATTAGAGCGGCTCAAATGGAAGATAATAAGATGGTCGAGTTGGCTATAAAAGTTCAGTGCAGTCAGATTCAAAACTTTAATATTGCTTCATATGGGAGTCTTCGATTCTATGGGAGGTGGTGTATCCCAAAGGACCGAAGCGATTTAAAGGAGAAAATTATGAGTGAGGCTCATAATACACCACATTCAGTGCATCCAGGATGGATTAAAATGTATCAAGACTTACGTCAACATTTTTTGTGGAAGAGCATGAAGAAGGATGTAGCCAAATTTGTTGCACAATGCTTAAACTGCCAAAAGGTAAAAGCAGAACATCATAGACCAATGGGGTTGTTACAACCTTTAGAAGTTCCGCTCTGGAAATGGAATTCTATTGCAATGGATTTTGTGACAGGACTTTCAAGGGCGAAGTCGGGAACAGATGCAATTTGGGTGATTATAGATAGATTGACTAAGTCAGCAGTGTTCATCCCAGTACGTATGACTTGGAGCATGTAGAAGTTGGCTAAATTATATATTCATCATATGGTTAAACGACACGGTATTCCTGAAATGATCATATCGGATCGTGATCCACGTTTTCAATCTCGATTTTGGCAAAAATTGCAAGAAGCCTTTGGTACTCAGTTGCATATGAGTACTGCATTTCATCCAATGACTGATGGTCAATCAGAGCGAACTATCCGTATTCTGGAAGATATGCTAAGAGCTTGTGCAATAGAATTTCAAGGAAGTTTGGAGGACCACTTGGATTTAGTGGAATTCTCATATAATAATAGTTATCAAACAAGTATTGGAATGACTCCTTTTGAAGCTCTTTATGGACGAAGATGCATAACTTCTTTAAGTTAGGATGACATGAGTGATCGACTGATATTAGGTTCAGAAATGATCGAAGAATCAAAAAAATAAGATTCAAGTTATCAGGGAGAAGATGAAAATAGCTCAAGATCGTCAAAAAAGTTATGCCGATAAAGCCCGACGTGAAGGTCAATTTCAAAGTGGAGATTTCGTCCTAGTAAAAGTATCTCCAATGAAAGGTATTAGAAGGTTTGGAATTAAAGGAAAATTGAGTCCGCGTTATGTTGGACCCTATGAAATCCTCGATCGAGTTGGAGATTGGGCTTATCGGTTAGCACTTCCTAATTCCATGGAACGAATTCATAATGGGTTCCATGTATCACAGCTTCGTAGGTATGTCGCAGATCCTTCTCATATTTTATCTCCGGATGAGTTAGAGCTAAATGAGGATCTTTCGTATGAAGAAACGCCTCTTTGGATCATGGACACAAAGGTTCGAACTACGAGGAACCGAGATATTCGTATGGTGAAGGTAATGTGGTCCCGGCATGGAGCAGAAGAGGCCACGTGGGAAGTAGAGTAAGAGATGTTCAAAGCATACCCACATTTGTTTAATTAAGTAGTGTTGTTATGCGTTTGAGTTTAGATTTCGAGGATGAAATCTTTTAAGGGGGAGTGAATTGTAATACCCCGATTTTGGAGTGTATAAAATAATATTATTATAGCAAATAAATACTTTTATAATATTTTGGGATCAAGAAATTAATATTCTGAAATAAATTTTATTCCTATTTTATATATTGATTATGATTGAAAAGACCGTTAAACGGATAAATATCGATAAAGATAAATATAAAATATAATATATATATATAATAATATTATAATAATAATAATAATAATAATAATAATGATAAGGATGGATGATTACGAAGATATAATAATAATAATAATAATAACAACAACAACGTTAATAATAATAATATAATATAATATAATATATATAATAATAATATAATTATATATATATATAACAAATCAAACCCACCTGTGAAGGAAGGCCGAAGCAGAAGAACGCGAAGAGAAAGAAGAGAAAGAACGCCTATGATTATGGAGCCGAGGTTATTCCGGCTACTAACTTTGGCAGATATATATATGTAGATGTGCATTATTGTCGAGTTTGATATCTGTATTGCATCATTTCACTATTGGCATGACATGACACGTATTTTATGATTAACGGGAATTAGACTTTATTTTAAAAGGGTATGAAATGACATATTTCACGTTAATTCTTAAAATGGATTTAATTCTAGACTGCTTTTAAGAAAATATTTGTTTCAGGTATGCATGGCACATCCGAGACAGGGGACGTCTCGGGATATAGAAAGACGGGCTGAGTGAGTGAACTTACGTCTATTGTATTATATATAAATTTTTAACCGGAAAAACCTCTTGTTAAGAGGTGTATTTTGTAAATATTTATAAATCAGATTCTGCTATATAATAATGCGTTTTTGGTAATTTTAGCCTTAACACTGTATTGTGGAGCCCGAAGTAGGAAGTGACAACCTCATGATGCAGTGTGGCGTTAGCATTTCCAGTATGAGCCAACTGGGGTGTTACAAATATATTTGGGTGCTCTGTAGAAATATGACTAATAATTTACAAAAGTATATGGTGCTCCGTATAGTATATATTATGTTTTATACTGTGTTGTTAGTTCTCCAAATACGATCGATTTAAAAATTTATAAAACATCAATAAGAATTAAAAGGCACTAATCAAGAGTTTAAAAAATCAAAAAATTGACCGATGTTATCTTAACAATAAAAAAATATTTTATGAAGATTTGAACGACACTATATGCAAAAAGAAGCAAACTATTGCCAAAAAATAATAAATAATTTCATAATTCATTAAATAATTAATTTATTTAACTTCATTATAGCTTAAATATTGTATCACTAATCAAATATTTCGATTGAAATAGACGAAAGTGAAAATAGTATAAAATAACATTATGATATAGTATTTATAATTTTATATAAAATATAAAAATATATTATTATTGCATGTAAATTATGGATCATTTACTCAATTAAAAAATAAACATTAATTATGAATAGATGTACTACAAAAACTTTGTTATTAAATTTAATTTTATTATAAATGACTCATCATAATATTTATGAGTCATATATTTTAGGTGTTATAACTATATACATATTATTCATGCAAATTGGCATGTAATGTGTCATGTGTATTGGTCTTAGTATGTCATTCTAATGTGATGACATTTATTTATTATTATCTATAAATACTGCATTGTAAATTTTAAATGATCATCAAGAAATATTATATACATTCACTCTTTAAAATAATAATACACACATGTCTTATAGATATATATAAATATCTGTATATTACTCCATATATAATATTATGTACTAAAAATGCATATGTATATATATTATATTAGATAATATATATTTTATAACATGATTTCAATACTTCAGTCATTTAAATAAAATAAAAAAAAATAAAAAATAAAAATAAAAAAAGACTTTCTTCCTATAAAATATTGTGATTAAATTATTAATTTTTTTTTAAAAAAACAAATCTGATTCAAATATATATTCAAAACACATTTGCAAAGTATTTCAATTTATAGCATCTCTAATAGTCATTATTTTTTTTATCTCTCTCATCAATATTATATTCACCTCAAAATTCAAATTATTTTATTTATCACCTGTTATAATAAATTACTTTCGACCCAACACTTTTACTATTTTATAAATTCAAAATAATTTATTCATCTATATATAATTTTATTATGTAATAATATATAAACAATTTATTTATCTATATATATTTCTATATATTTTTATTATCTAATAATATTTTTATATAATATTATATTTTAAATTTTAAATATTAACATATATAAATTTTAATAATTGTATATAAAAATAACATAGAATTATAATATAATATAAACGTGTAAAATAATAATTTATTATTTTAATTGTCGTATGGTATCCAAATAATTTATGGAGCCAATGAAAAAATAGAGAATAACAAATAATTTTAAAATATGATAGAATAAAGCGTGAGAATTAGTTAATAAAATTTAAATATGTGTATAATTTATGTTAAATTTATATTTTAAAATTTTAAAATATTTTGGGCAGTATTAATTTAATTTCTTTTTTTTATAAATTTTTGTTGAAGGTATTTTAATGAGTTTTATTATAGTAAAAAATGAAAAAATAAAAAATAAAAAAAGGATAAAAGTAATGAAAAAGGTGATTGTAACAAATAAAAAAACCTTTGCCTGAGAGTTTTTGTTTTCACTATAATCCAAAATTTTCAATAAAAATATCATATTTAATCTCTCAAAAGATCTAAAATAAACAATAAAAAATATTACCTCCATCATATTCTAAATGTCTCATATATTTTTTTTGGGTGTTAATCTATTAATATTAATTATTATATCAAAACATAATACAAACTAAAATTTGTTTTTTTTTTTTAGAAATACTTTACAAAGTGTCTTATAATATTAATAGAAGGACATTTGTACAAAAAGTTATACAAATATAAAAATATTTCTAAACCATAATAATGGAAAAGGTAAATGTAATAATGGAAGAAATAATATTTTAATAATTCTTTACTATCATCAATAACTAAAAATAAAAACATCAAAGTTTTATTTAACACTAAAAAAATATAATTATATGTATATACAAATATATATATATATTAGAACTGACAAAAACTGACCCGACACGACCTGACACGAAATAATTGAATTTGAGTCAAATATTTCAACCTGATAATGTATACGAGACACGATAATAAACGGATCAACACGAACCTGACACGATAATAAACGAATCAGGTTAGGGTTGAGTAATTGAACTCATTTAAAGTATTCAATTCGACACGAACCCGACACAAATAGATCCATTGCCGGCTCTAATATATATATATATATATATAGAGAGAGAGAGAGAGAGAGATAATTTAGTAGCAAATAATACCCGCTTGAATAATTCCATTCCATCACTACTAATACTATAAAGTGTTAGTAACCAACATTGTGCAAAAATGGTCCAAAATGCATAACAAAGACATGAAAATAAACATAGTACAGCAGCACAAAACCCCAAATCAGCCCAAATAACAAATGTAACAAAGACAATATCTAATACTAACTATAATAATATGAAGAACTTTGAATCAAATAAAGAAAGAAAACTCACCATTTCTACCCCTCAAAAACTCACTCTCTGCGAGTTTCAGTCTGAGCATCCGATGATGATGACGAGGAGAAAGTCTTCCACCAAAGAAACACCGCCGCCGCCGCCGGAAAACCCGGGATTTTTATACAGAGCAGCACCCGACCTTTTTCATGGCGGAGACGTCATCCTTGTTGACGTTGATGGTCTGCCCTTCCGGCAAGGCCGCAGGGTCGTCTCCGATGTCCAGAGCTTTACGGCTAACCACATGGTATATTTGGGAGAGGACTTCCGTGAAAGCGTTCTCCACGTTCAGCGACTCCAGCGCCGATGTCTCCATGAAATACGTGTTTTCCTTCTCCGCAAAGGCCTTGCCGTCCTCCGTCGACACTGCCCGCAGGTGGCGCAGATCCGCCTTGTTGCCTACGAGCATGATTACGATGTTCTGGTCCGTGTGGTCCCGGAGCTCCTTCAACCACCGCTCCACGTTCTCGAATGTTACGTGTCGAGTCACGTCATAGACGAGCAGAGCCCCGACGGCCCCTCGGTAGTATGCACTTGTGATTGCCCGGTATCTTGGGGGAGTAAAACATATTAAAATTTAGACAAGACGATTGACAAACAAACATACACAGTTAAAAAAAAACAAATTAAGCAAATAACAATAATAAATAAAACACAAAAAATAAATGCCAGGAAAAAAATCAAATAAAAAAGGTCCTTTTATCCCTTAAAATCGATCATTTGTCTTATTGATACATCATCCCTAAGTAGAAAAAATGTGACAAAGTGCAATTCAAAAGTTCTAAAATAACTAAGGGTATGTTTGTGTTTTTCAATTTTGTTTTCTGCATCCTGCAATATGATAGTTTATTTTTTCCCACTAAAAAGCATTGAATCTAACAGATATATCTTCCATATAAAAGATTAAATCCAAAATGTTCAAAACATCATATCAGACAGGGTATCGATCAATTTTTCCACTAAAATTATCTTGAATCCAAACCAAAAAACACACCATGGATTTACGCTTAGAAGACAAATGTTACTGAGACCATTTTATATACTAATGTGTTCAATATGCAATTTTAGTCTTAAGAAAATGCTACATTCTTTTAGTAATTCTGTACACAGGGTATCAATTTGAGGGCTACACAGGTCATCAATTCATAGAAAAATGAGAGAAAAACTAAAATGTAGCATAAAAACTAAAATGTGAAAAGAGTATGATATTAAATGAATATGTCAAAATACATGAAATCTTTGATCTAACAGGAGTAGGGGCATTGCATAAGACTGGTATAAGGTAGAGTGTATAGAAAAAATGAAAGCTAAATTCATGCATGTGTATTTCTCTCTTTTTTTTTTCTACGTCCCACTAATCTCTCTCTCTCTCTCTCTCTCTCTCTCTCTCTCTCTCTCTCTCTCTCACAACACACACACACACACACAATTTTCCACTGCTTACTCCTGAAAATTACATTATATATATAAATACCAAATCCTACTGGTTAACCCTTTGAATAAGTTTCATCTATGTTCATCTCAGGGGGCGCGACATTTTATTTGAGATCAAATAAAGAGATTGAGCATATATCTTGCAGTTAGCATTTCAAAGACTACCATTGCCAGATAGGTTCCATTACTACATTTTAGGACGATTGAATCCTCAGACTTGACAGTGGAAATTTAACATTGTCTTAAGCCAACATAGAAATCAGATCAAAGAATCCATTATCTTGAACTTTAGCCAAAATAAGGAAAAGTAGAAACGAAACCTCACACTCAGCCTTCACGAATGAACATGACTACAGAAAATTAATGACTTACCTATTAAATCATCATCCAAAGTTATCAACACAAGATCTAAAATTAGTTAATGCAAATATCCTATTCATTTTACTTCTACAACTTCGCAAAGGCATATGAATTCGCAAAAAAAATAAAATAAAACAAAATATTCTATCTTTAAATATGTACAAAGAAGTCCAAGAAATTATAAATGCATACTAGCATATATATATATATATATATCGGCACCCTAAAAAGTTGCTCAAATAAACAATCTTAAGAACTATACCATCAATATAAAGCAATCCATCAAACTAACTGCTTCACACTTCTATCGAAAAATCAAAGTAAACATTTATAAATACAAGGACAATTATATCATATATGCATAAAACACAATTTTTGCACGATCAAACAATCCATTCACCAAAGTACTAGTCCTAAACAGTCAACTCTATCAACAAGATCAAGAGGTACAATCTCACTTTGGAACTTCAACAATGGCAGAAGAAAAAGATGAAGAAACACCAAGAAATTCCTAATTTGACTAAAATTTGTTAAGAACCTAATTCCTAAAGTTGGTTTCAACCAAAAAACCAGAATGTTGTGTCAAATTCGAACCAAATTAAGGGTAAATCCTCATTTGCAAATGTTTGCTACACAGAATAAAGATTCAACCTACAAAGTAATAGGTAAATGCTGTACAATTTTCCTGCTTTAGAAACTGCCTCCACAACCATCCATTTCATCCGATCTCGACAATGTATACAAAACAGAAGTAAAAGATTCAACTCCTCTGAAATTTGAATTTTCACCAACCAAATCGAGGCACTTTTTTCGCTATGGATCTGGTTTTTGCAGGTTTTGGACTACCTAACCCTAATCTACGCAAAAGATTCGAAAAATATACCCTAACATCAGCACTATTCTCGTCATCCATCGGTCAGCACTAGCATCAAACCCTAGCATCCCTCCCCGCCCAAATTCGTATTGCAGAAATTTCGAGATGCTCCAAAATCAACACAAATCAAAGCAAAACGAACAAATCGCAGTTCCAAACAACAAATCGACAACAGGAAAACACGCACAGTACCTCTCCTGGCCAGCCGTATCCCAAATCTGAGCCTTGACCACCTTATCATCGACGCGAATGCTCCGCGTGGCGAATTCAACCCCAATCGTGGACTTTGACTCCAAGCTGAACTCGTTCCGAGCAAATCTCGACAGTAAGTTCGACTTCCCGACACCGGAGTCGCCGATCAGCACCAGCTTGAAGAGGTAGTCGTAGTCGTCGTCCGCCCTGTAACCCCCCGCCATCTCCACCACTCACAACGTACGTACTGCCTGCGTATAAAATACGTATTTATACGGAAAATGTAAACCCCAACACTGAGTGCGATGTCTCTGTGAATGTGTGTATAATATAATGTGTATATATATATATAGTGGAGAGACTCTCGAGAAATTCATGGAGAGTGTAATGATGGAAAAGTGTCAGTAATAAAAACTAAGGGTGTGTTTGTTCTTGGTTTTAGTTTTTTTATTTGAATTTTTTAATATTTCATTAAAAAATTGATGTGATATTTTAAATATAAAATAAATGTATAATTATAAAAAAGAAAAAGTAATTGTTTAATGTAATATATTTGGAGAAAAAAATATATATGAATAGTAAAAATCTGCAGTGAAACTCACAAAAGAATACAACCAAATATTTGTTTCTACTATTTGAATTTTATATTTTTTGAAAAAAAATATAATTATTTTTTTTACAAAATATCTCATTATATATTATTTTAATATCAAACTCAAAATAAAATTTTTCCAAACTCATCAAAAGAAACATATTCTAAACTAAATTCGAAATGGAAAAAATATATATATACTACCTCAGTCCGGTTCCAAGAGTCTTATTTACTATGTGCATGTTGATATTTGAATATTAATTATTATATCAAAACTTAGTACAAATTAAAAAAAGAATTGCAAAAATATTTTAATTAGTGTCTTATAATACTAATAGAAAAATATTTATACAAAAAATTATATAAATATAAAAATATTTTTAATATTAAGTACAATAACGTAAAAGATAAATGTGAGCTCTTATATATCGGATAAAGTATTGATTAATTAGTTACTTAATTGGTAAGGATTTCTTTTTACCACTGTATTATGTTTGTTTAACTGCCTTTTTCAATTTTTATTTGTTTTTGTTTTATCAATCCAAATGCATTATTTGGTATAAATAAAGAAATAATTTAAATGGATCATATAAATTAAAAAATATAATATTTTATTTATGAGTGAAAATATACACCATGCTATTTTTTAAATAAGAACATCTAAAATACAAAAATAGTATATATTTTTATTACAAATAATATGTTGTATGTAGTAAAAATATGTGTGGTTTGTTTATAATTGCAGCATTGGTTTAATGAGAATATGTTATATGCTAAAATGAAATACTAGATGAGCTGTGTGAGACTATATGATGTTATGCTAAGTCATGTGTTGTATTTGTATTATTTTAAAATATATTGTGTGTTGTCCATAGTAACACTGTGTGGTGTCCGGTAGCACACGATGTACTGTTCAGCACTGTAGCCGCCGCCGTATAATAGATTTGATATTTTTATTCTTTGATTTTATGTAAATAGTAATTATATATATATATGTAATGATATGTTTGTAATTTAAATAAATATTAAGAATATTTTAGTATTAGTTTACTTTTATCCAAAAAAAAATATATATGTGTAGGACTGAATAGGAAAAAAAAAAAAAAGTACTCCATATTTTAAACCGGAAGAAGAGAATAATATTTTATTGATTAACGGCAAGATAATTTTATTTTTTATTTTTTTTTTGGTTTTTTATATTTTATTTATAAAATAATTATATATATAATAATATATTTATAATTTATATAAATATCAAAGAATATAATGATAAAATAGATACTTTAATAGGAATGAAAAGAATATATCTGAATAATTATTTTAGAATGGTAAATTTTAAAATTATAGGTAATAATGATATTAAGGTTTATATAATTTATAACAAATTATATTGAATAAAAAAAATATTTCACAAATTTAATTTAACTTTTTAGAATTTAAATACTAATTACAAATCTAAACTTTTTTTTTTTTTTTTAACTATTTGGTCCAATTTTGGAAGTTAGATATTTATTTATGATACAAAGGCTTTCTTCTAGGGGTGAGCAAAATATCCGAAATTCAAAAATTCAATCCGAATCAAATCAAAATTTAAAATTTGATTCGGATTCTTCGGATTTTCGATTGGATCGGATTGAATTTTTAACAAATTTTGGATTTTCGGATCGGATCGGTATACTTAAAATCCGAATCAATCCGAAATCCGAAATATAACATTTTAATATATTTTTTTATTATACATATTTAATATTTAATTAGAAAATATTATATTTTAATATAAAAACTCAAATTTATTAATTATATTTTAATATATTTAATTTTTATATATTATATATATTTAATATTATAAAATAATAATAAAAATATTTAGAATTTTTTAGTTCGGATTACGGATTTTCGGATTTTGGATTCCGGTTATTTCGGTTCGGTTCGGATTGATTTTTTCAAAAATTTCGAATTTTCAGATCGGTTCGAATTTGACAAAATCCGAACCGAAAATCCGAATGCTCACCCCTACTTTGTTGCCTGGGGCAATCTTTCAAAAACAATAATTAAAAAATAATATTTTATATAAAAATGAAAAAGTAAAAAGAAAAATTACATATTATAAAAAGTAAAAAAAAAAAAAATCAAATTCTTGTTATAAAAGTCAAAGTTTTAAATATACAACTTAAAATAATATGTATTATATTTTTGACATAGTTATCCGTACCATATACCAAAAATTCATTTTATCCAAAATATAGTCTGTTTGTATTTTTAGGTTTGACTCCTTATGTTGTTGATATTCTATGTTGTACATTGTACCCTAAATATATATAATTTTAAAAATAATATATTTAGTAAATAATTAAAAATTTATTAATAAAAAATTATATTATTACAATATAAATATACAAATTAAAATTAAAATAATTAATTAATTTAATTAAACTTAAAAAATAATAATAATAATTAAAATATATAAATTTTAAAAAAATAATAAAAATAGAAAGATGTCTATCCGGAAATGACAACATAGATAAGGAATGTGATATTGAAAGGATAATTTTTGTTATTTTAAGTAATATAATAATTGGATGTTAAGTAAATATTTTGTTTTATTAAAAATAATAAATTATACTTCGTTGTTCGTGTATAAGAGTCACATTTATATTTTGCATCATTTAAGACACTAATATAAGTATTTTTGCAAATTTTTTTATTTGTATATTACATTTTAATATAATAATTAATACTCAAACATCAACACACAAAAAGTAAATGAAACTGCTAGACCCGAAGGTACATAATATTGGAAATAGTAAAACAAGATGAACAATACAATTTCATATAAAAATATCAAATCTAACAATTCGTTTATCAAAATTAAATAAATAAATAAAATATAAGAAGTGTTTAAAAAATTTTGAAGTTTTGGTAGCTATTTATTGAGAACAGTTTATTTTAAATATTTTATAAAACTAATACTTCTTCCGTTCCACGGATAAAGTATACATTTATTTTTGGCGCGAAGTTTAAGAAATAATAGTATTTTAATTACAGTAGGTAAGTAAAAGTAGTGAAATGATATTTTTTGCCCTTGATTTTTGGTATAAAAGTAATGATGTGATGTAAAATAAGGATATTTGTGGAAAAAAATGGGATATTTAATTAAATGACTACTTTATAATTGAACATTTCAAAATAGAAATATGTATACTTTGTAGCTGGACGTATATTTTATCGAAAACAATTAATATTACGAAAAAAGGAAAAATAAAAACACAAAAAGCGTCAATAAATTTTTTACCCTCACAAGTCACATCCTTACTAATTATTAACAAAGGCATCCTTATGCTTTTCTCCATGTCATTGTAGCATATATATATATATATATATATATGAGCAACAGATACGGATTCATTCTAAAAATGTTATAGAATCTGTTAGAATTTTGAGGGTAAATGATCAAATTATATTATTCGTCGTCAAAATAAATAGGTCTATATATAAATTATACAAAACAGACTCGATATACTCAAATCTAAATAATATAATATATAAATAAGACCAAATTTAAATATAACTCTACTAAATCTAAAATATATCAATATCCCCTAAAACTCAAGTATATAACATAATTCAACTTGAGCTTGATATAAAGTTAAATATAAACGCAAGAAATGCAAATAAAAATAACAGTTGACTTTCCACCGAAGCTGAAAACAGTTATTTTGCACCGGAGCCGAAAACGACATGACTCTCCACCGGAACTGAAAACAACATGACTCTCTCTCTACCAGAGTTGAAACAAATAGATCGCAAACACCAAACAGATCACATGCATAAAACAGACAAGCAAGGAACAGAAAAATTTTATGCAACAGATAAGCCATTGACAATTGAAAGATCGCACGCATGCAACAGACAAACAACGGACATATGACATATAGTAGATAGATTTCATATTGGTGTGAGAGAAGTAGGCTCTGAATCGGAGTTGAACTTAGATAGACAAGACTCTGTATACAATCAAAGTCAAATGCAGACAAATTGCACAAAAAACAAATCGCGGACATCGGACTAATCACAAACAGCAAACAGATCGCAGACACCGGACAGATTGCAGACAACAGACAGATCACACTGCAAAAATCGGAAAGATCACCGAACAAATCGCAAACACCAGACAGATATGATATAAACAACTCTGCATGGCATTTGTCTTATTTGTATTATTCGAACAATATAACAATTTGGAGCATTTTTGTATTATAAACGAAAATAAAAATATATGTATATTGTTTCTAACGGTTCGCACGACATAAAAGTCTAATTCATATAAATAAATCAAAATTATAAAAAAAAAAAACAAAATAACAAAATAACAAAATAACAAAAAAAACAAAAAACGAAAACAACTATAATTAGTAAATACACATCATATAGTACTGGTGTGTTGTTTGGAGATTGGATTTTAAATTTACTGTTCATTTCTTTTTTTTTTCTCCAAAAATATCAAATCAAACACTTATTTTTTATTTTTTATATTATACTAAAAATCAATTTTATATTCAAAATATCACATCAACACATATTTGTAGCACATCATACAATTATTCAAATTCCAACGCAAAATTCAAACTCCCAAACAAACACACCCAAATATAAGAGTCAATCATAGTGAATTCGTGGGAAATTATTCAATCAACACAAGGGTTTTTTCACTTAATATTTTACGGTAATACG